CCTAACAGTATTTCTGAATGTAAATAGGGTATGGGAAGTAGATACTGAATTAGGCCTAACAGTATTTCTGAATGTAAATAGGGTATGGGAAGTAGATACTGAATTAGGCCTAACAGTATTTCTGAATGTAAATAGGGTATGGGAAGTAGATACTGAATTAGGCCTACCAGGATTACGGAATGTAGACAGGGGATCGGAAGTAGGCCTACGGGAATTACAGGATGTAAATAAGTGATTTACTAATGTGGATTTATGAAATTTAGTTATGAACTCGGAACTCTTAACTACGATTGTTCCTAGACCCACTTATTTCTCTTGTAGCAAGTCAACAGAAAATAAATGCATTATATAACAACGGAATGTCGTTTAAAATCTTCATAAAGTAATAAACAACAACTAAAAATTGTGGTATAATTTGGGCGTACACCTCTAATGTATTTTATCCTACCTCTAGTTACTGTTTGTTTTATATAGATACCCGAAACAATCTACTGTACAATAACAACAATAAGGCTAGTTTGCCAGTTGTTGTAAAGTTAATTCAAATAAAATAATAAATAAACAAAAAAGGGTTAAAATAAAAAATATATATATAATATTGTGTCATTCATTTTTACCTATAAATCTGATTTCTAAACGAATTAAATATAAAACTGATTACAATCCGTTACTTTCACTCAATGACTGTATCTTTTAACATAAATACCTGTAACAACCTACCGTACAATAATTACTGTGTGGTTTACATAAATACCTGTAACAACCTACCGTACAATAAGTTACTGTACGGTTTACGTAAATACCTGTAACAACCTACCGTACAATAAGTTACTGTGTGGTTTACATAAATACCTGTAACAACCTACCGTACAATAAGTTACTGTACGTGGTTTACGTAAATACCTGTAACAACCTACTGTAAACAGTAAGTTACTGTATGGCTTATATAAATACCTGTAACAACCTACCGTACAATAAGTACCTGTAACAACCTACTGTAAACAATAAGTTACTGTATGGTTTACGTAAATACCTGTAACACTTACTTTACAATCACTTGTTACGTATTTTGCAGAAAGAAAACCTTGGGTACACTTCGAGTGGACGACGGGCCTGCTGTGAGTGCTACGTCAGAACCTGGCGCCACAGAGTTAAACACAGACGGCCTTCTATGGCTAGGTACTTTCTTGTTTTTTATCTCTTCTGATTCCCGTTTCTCGATTATTTCTGTTGGTTTATCATTATTTATTTCAATCATTATTAGCGTGTCCTAAAGAGATAAAGTATGCCTTAGTGTTTAGCGGATTGTGAATCCGAAGTGTTCCCTGTTCGAGACCCGTTATCGTTAATATGCCATACTTTGAAGTTGTATTTGCACTGTAAGAGTGACAGTCAAATCCCGCTGTTCATCTAGGCGTAATACTTCCAAGAGTTGGCGGCGGGTGCTAATCGCTAGTTGCCTTCTAGGCTAGCTGTAAAAATGAGGGGGAGCAACGCGCTCATAGCTGTTGTGTAGCTTTGAGTAAAAACCTGGAACAAACCAAACATACAACGAACAATGTACCACGTGCTGCTTTATCTTGTTCTTACAAAAACGAAAATCAGTAACAACACTTTTACACAGTATATACGTTGGTAAAATGATCTTGGAATTTACCCGTTAGCCAAATATCACAACAGCTGTACAGTTGCGTTTCTTTCAATCTTAAGATAATCTTGGAACATTACTTATTAGTTCGACTGCAACATACACCTGCATGCTTATTTTATTCTTTTTCAATTGGCAGTAAAAAATACATGATCCGTACGTGGATCATATAATGACCGATAATTAGCATTTATATTATTGTTAGGGCGAGCTAACAGGTTATTAGTTTTTAAACTAGCTCCATGTAAGTGTAACCTAGCAACAGTGTATAAAACATTGTTGTTAACTTCGCTTGTAAGAATGTCGAAGTAGTACCTGTGAAACCATTAATCATTCATTGTTGTTTTACAGATCGGTAACAAAGTTTATCAACAGACTATGTGTAACGTAGCAACAGTGTATAAAACATTGTTGTTAACTTCGCTTGTAAGAATGTCGAAGTAGTACCTGTGAAACCATTAATCATTCATTGTTGTTTTACAGATCGGTAACACTGTATACCATCAGACTATGTGTAACGTAGCAACAGTGTATAAAACATTGTTGTTAACTTCGCTTGTAA